ATTATTTTAAATAATTATTATAAGCATATTTTATTTTTTTTATAAATGCATTTATTTTGAATTGTAAAATTTTTTTTGCATTATTTGGTAATATTGTGTAATTATTAAATAAAATAAATCTGTTTTTTTTTTCTTTAAAGATATTTACGGACCAAAAACGGTCTGGATATAATTTGAGAATGGCGCCGGTTGGGAGAGAAACTTTTAAAAGTTACAAGCAAATCCAACATATTCAGACCAAAAATGGTCTGAATATAGTTTGAGAATGGCACGGTCGGGGATGGAACTTTTAAAACTTACAAGCAAGTCCAATATATTCAGATCGAAAACGGTCTGTATATAGTTTGAGAATGACGCCGGTTGGGAGAAGAATTTTTAAAAGTTACAAGCAAATCCAATATATTCAGACCGAAAATGGTGTGGATATTTTTTCAGAATGGAGCCAATTGGGACAGTAATTTTTAAAGGTTACAAGAAAGTCCAACATATTCGGACTGAAAATGGTCTGGATATAGTTTGAGAATGTCACCGGTTAGGCGAAGAACTTTTGAAAGTTACAAATAAGTTCAAACATTTCAAACCAAAAACGGTCTGTACATAGTTTCCGAAGTGGACAGATTGAGGCCGCAAGTTTTAAAAGTTGCTATTGGGTCCTCCATATTCAAACCGATCCCGATCCGAATATATTTGATATGCCTCTTTCCACCACATCTCCAGACCGTTTTTGGTCGGTACATATTTTATTATTTTATTATATTATTTTTTTCAGACAAATTTCGGTCCGCTTATTTCAATTTTTAAATAACCATTTATATTTTTTACTGAAATATCCAGACCGATTTTGTGTCGGTCTGTATATTATATTTTTTCGTACCAAGTTTTTTCAAATCAACTATAGGGACTAATATCGGTCCGGATATATATATCCGGACCGATTTTTAATATATTTGGACTGAAATTTCGGTCTGAATATCCGATTCCTACAGTAGTGTCAACAAGGAACAACTTGTTAGCGAAAGACATACAAGATCCTTATCATAATGGAAAAAGGGCCGAACTTTGGAATGTGTTATCTCTTTCACACAATCTAAAATCCATTAAAAGGATGAGTCATCCTTTGGAGTTCACCTCATGTATGGTTGTGTAGTGTTTGACAGGTATGAAAACTAGGACTACTTTTTGACGTAGTGGTATTAGCATTATGTTCTTGCAAAAATTTGCAAACAATGAGCCATTTTCTTAATAAAACCCTCATCAATCATGAGCAAAGGGTTTATATCATGATAGCTCCCCAACTCCCCACCACACAAGTACAATGGAAAAGGGTTTGTTCAATTTAGCCCTTTCAAAATTTTTGTTCTTTTCAATTTAATCCTTAACTTTAAAAAATATTATTCAAATTAATTAAGATATGGCCTTGGACTTATCCTGGGCAAATAGGAGTGCCTATGGCTGTCCCTCTTTGCATAGCTTCTAAGAATTAGGAGTTGTGCAAAGGTAAAGAGACGTCCCAATTGGTTTAAGAAAATAAGAATGAAAAAGGATTTAGATACGAAGAGAGGAGGACGAAGAAAACCCTTTTCTTTTTCTTTTTTTCTTCTTTTTTTTTTTTTTTTGAAAATTTGAAAGTAAAAGATTGTAATGACGATAGTGTGGCTGTGGATGCAAATGCAATTGTTAGATCCTAGAACATGCTAAAAATGTAAATGTGACTTTAAATGTAAAAGCAACTTCTAAAGCCTAGAAATTTAAACATGATACTATGAATGTAAATTAGATTGATGGAGGTGTAAATGTGACTATAATTTTGAATATAAAAGTGATTGTTAGAGCCTAAGAATATAAATATGGTATTGTAATATTAGTGTGGTTGTTAGAAATGTGCATATGAATGTAGCTTTAAAACGAATGTGGTTAATGAAATGCATGTAAATGTAAATGTGACTTTAACTTTAAATGTGAAAATGGTTATTGGAGCTTGAAAATTTGCTAAAACTTTAAATGTGACTTCATTTGGATTTTGCATGGTTTTAATCATTTGCAAAAAGGATTGGAATGCATAAGCACAAAAAATTTGGGACTTAAAAGCAACCTTTTAAAAGTCTGATGACTTAATTGTGACAAGGAGAGTTGAATTAGGGACTAAAGCGAGTAAGTATAAAATTGGAGGATCAAAATGTTCACAGGATCGAAGTTGGTGGACCAGCTGCTCTATTTCACCATTAAGGAAATTACAGAACGATCCTCAAAGTCCGATGCAGGATAGGCGTTGACACCACCCCACAGGTACCGGTACTGGGAGCTAACAATTCTGCTACGACCCCCCAACCCCACAACAGTGTCGACACCGTTTGGCTCCATGTTGGTACCATGCGTTAACAATTCCTCAACCACAAATCGCGGTACATTTATTGGATATTTAAAAATTATACCAAAATTATTATAAACAAATATCTAAGATAGTTTAAAATGTTGGCATTATAAACTTGACCTTGATAGACAAATTATGATTAAGTGTGGAAGTGAATTTAACTTTTAATTTCAATTTTTTATAAAACATAATTATATTAAATGAATAGGTATAAAATTTATTTAAATAAATAGACATAACTTTTATTGCAAAAAGTCATATCTATTAAAAAATTATTACCTTCAATTAAATAACATAACTCTTAGTTATATATATATACTTTTAATTACTATATTTATATATATAAATCCAAACTAAACAAAGGAGTAAAAATTTTCATTTTTTTTACAATTTCTTAACTCTTTTCCTTTCCCTTATTATTTTATTTCGATGCTATTTTTTATATTTTTATAACAAAATTTGTAACAAAAGTGTCAACAGCCTTTACGAGAAGAACTTACCATAGAATGGCAGTTGCGAATAAAGATGTGGTCTTAAACACAAAGATGCACAAGGTAATGAGGAGTTTACCTTAATTTTTTTGGCAAAACATATAAATTAGCCCCTCAACTGGTTAATTAGTGTCAAATCACCCCTTCAACTCAGTTTATGTGCAAACTAACCCCTCAACTTATTTTCAGTGACAAATTAGCCCCTCTGTTAAGCCTTAGGGTCATCAATCCGTTAAGTTTTAACGTCATCAACAAGTCTGAACCCCAAGAGACCCAAAACAACAAATTAGTCCACCAACGCAATAGATCATTCCACCAGCGCAAGTGAATACTCCACACCACCTCCCCCATTTTTTGTTTCAGTTTTGGTCGTCTCAGCACCTCCACCACCACTTGATCCCCATGGTAGTAGGCCTCTCCTTCGCTATAACTGCTATACCCAACCGCTAGTTCCACGCCTTGCATCTCATCACTAAACCTGTAGGTATGCTTTCTCCCCTTCCTTACCACAGAAACATGTTACGAACTTAGAAAAATTTCAAATTCGCTATTTGTTTCATATTGGAGGAAAAGAAATAGAATCCCCAAATTGAAACCATCCCAGAGGAAAGATTTGATGATGTGAAGGATGCCCAGATCTTGATCCCATCACATTTGGTGGAGAAGCTGGCACGGAAAAGATCGAAAGGTTTACTATCTTGGTCGCCACCGTGATGTCCAGTTTTGGCATCACTTCCATGGCCATTATGGCTATTTACTATAGGGTTTCGAGCAAATGGAGGTACCGATCTTCTTCCCCATCTTGGCTTTCTTTCCTTATTTCAATAGCATTGCAAAATTCTGAATTGAATTCTTTTTCGTTTTAAAAGGGTGGAAAGGGAGCTTCTACTTGAGATAGAGGATTTAGAATAGGAGGAAGATTGATGGCTATGGTAATAGCTGGATTAGTTGATGAAATTATAGATGGAAGATGGATCCATCAGAGAAGTTGATTCGAAGGATTTGGCTGTCTGTTGAGATTGTCTTGATAGGCATGGCTGGGCTAGATCTATGGTTTTCCTTGATTGTTTGACTTGGATTGTTTTTGCTGAGTGGGAAGTTCCTTGAATATGACAATTTGTCCATCAAAGCCTCCAACAACGCATCCATCTCAGCAAAATCACCAAGTCAGACGCGAAAGAGGGGCCGATGAACGGAAGGTTCAAACCTAATGGATTGATGACGTAAGGCTTAACAGAGGGGCTAATTTGCCACTACAAACAAGTTGAGGGGTTAATTTGCGTGTGAACTGAGTTGAGGCGGTGATTTACCATCAATCGACCAGTTAAGGGGTTAATATGCATGTTTTGCTTCTTTTTTTTTTAAGAATAAAAACAATTGGCACTCGGGAAGTTCCTAAACATAAAATATGTTAATGTATCTAGTATTATGTGGAGAAAATGTATTTACTACTATTAAATAGAACTACACAAACAGATATTAGTGTGTTATTTTACTGGTTAAATTATATTTAATTATAAAATATAGATTATTAAATAAAGAGAAGATCTTAATATCAAAGAACTCATGCATCCCTTATTAAATTGTTTATATTTTATAATTCAAATTGTAAAACACTTTTTCAAATAAATATATATTTGTAATTCAATTTATAATTAAGATTGACGCTACTTGAACCTTTGAAGATAATCGAAGGACAAATTAATAAGTCTCTCTCATTTTCCTATACATTAATTAAGGTGTTCGTTGCCATTGATTACCTGCAAAACAAGAGAAGAAAATCAATATATAGTTTCTATATATGAGACAGGTCGGATAAAGTTACAACCACTACAGCCTAATGTTTTTTTTTTTTTTAAATCTAAAATATGGAGTAAAATAGAAAAAGGTAGGAAATTGAGGTTTTTGTTTTTTTTTTGGTTAAATACAATATGATAAAGTTGGCCAAAAAAATACCACCCACATCAATAAGAATTTGGTTAAATTGATATCTATTATTTTAATTAAAAACTTTGATTTAAAATTAAAATTAAATATTAAAATTTTTGTGATATCAAATAACTAACCTTTTTATAGACCCATCAAAGTATGCTAAATGTTAAGTGTCTATAGAAATAGGCTATGTTAAGAAAACTAAAGTAGGAGAATTCGAGAAAGAAAACAATAGTTAAATCAATATCATCCACTTAATGTAACTGATTTATACTACACACCACTGAGAATAAGGAATGCACTACTAAGAAGACTTGAATCTTAATTAGTTAGGAAAAGGTAGGAAGACTTATCCAAGTAATTATTATTGGCGCAAAAAAAAAAAAAAAAAAAAACGCTAGATACCTCTCTTAGGCTATCTCAAAATATGCTTGCATTAGGTCAAGAACAAAATTCACCATGAAATTAATCAAACACTTCCCAAAATCTATAGAAGTTTCTAATTAATAAATCTCAAATCTTAAAATTGTTTTCACAGTTTTCCAATTTTATATGAATAAGTTGTAATAACAAATCAAAATTAATCTTTAATTAGACGAGGGATGTCCATTAACCTGGAAGGCAGTAATGCGGATCAAATACCCCATTGGAATGTTGTTGTATTTGATGTTGTTGCTGCTGTTGTTGTTGTTGCTGCACCGCAACAAGAACAGAAACCATATCTCTCTCTTCCTTCAATTCATCTAAATTCTGAGAATAGTTTATCAATCTGCTACTCCTATCATACATAGAATTACCATTCCCATGACTATTATAATAACTGCACACTGTATTGTTGATTGCTAGAAGTCCTCTATTGATCCCATTAGTTCCATTATTCCATGGAACTTGTTCTGTTCCTTGATGAACCTGCTGCAATGCTTGATTTTGTACTTGTAATTTAAATTTCAAGTCCTTAAGCTCGTTAAAAACTTTGACATACTCTCCATAAGACCCTAAAACCGGGTCGCGTTGCCTGCAAATAGCTTCCCATATCAGCGAATCCGCAATTCTCTTTCTGTCTTCCTCTCTCCCACTTTTTATCATTCTTGTCACGTTTGCTACTCCAAAGATTTTATGAACCGCCTGAAACTCCTCGTTCTTGCTAGCCGGAAAATATTGCGCCAACACACAATTTTGATCGCACTTCTTCCTTTGGTGTTTGCATGAAGCACATGCTGAATGCCCTACTCCTGCTGCTGCTGCTGCTGCTGCTCCTCCGGATGACCCATTATTGTTTATCCTTTGCATCCTTGAATCCCTTGACCAAACTACGGAAAGGAAGAAGAAAAGTAGCAGATTCATTATCATATGCCAAATATGAACAATAATTCGCAATACAAATTAGTACTAGACTACATATATATTAATTTGTAGAACTTTAAGAGATTGAGTCAAAGTAGTATTACAATTACGGCTTACAAACCTTTGGCAAATTTTTGATTTGATAAGAATGAACATATAAAAAAGAAACTGAAGTTTGTATAAATTATAGTATGGGTTGTGGGGGTGCACGAAAAGATTGTTAGAATATTAAAAAGGGATGTTGGGAATGTGTACTAGGTTTAGGTAGATCATCGGAAGAAGAAGACATTATGGTTTTTATATTAATTACTTGTTTTGTATTTGGAAACAATATCTTTGGTTTCTTTTTTTTTTTTTTAATGGAATATCTTTGGTTTCCAGCTAATTGAGATATATGGAAAAATATTAATTAGAATTAATTAATTATTAGTGGTATAATCTATCTCTCCAAAGAAGTCTGGAAGAGTTGGTAATTGTAGGATAGAATTAAGTTTGTAGGCAATCTAATAGAGACCTTTTTAGAGTAAAACAAAAATGTTATAGTTATAATAAAAGGTGGTATTATAATATATTATTATATTATTATATTATTAAGTATTTTTATTTAGTGATTTATGTATAATATTATATTCAATCATTTATTTGATATTACGTTATATTTCATTTAATATCACATAAAATTAAAAGTTTACAATTTTAAGTAATATTTACTTTTTAAAAAAAATTAAATAATACTGTATATATAGCATTGTTGCTGCCTTTTAATTCTCCTTCCCACATACCGCTCAAATCCTTCTTATTGTTTTTTTTCTCAAAAATATTATAGTTACAATGTCACATGATATTGTAAGTTTATTTATTACATAATTAATTTTTTTTATTCAAAGATCTACTTGTAATATTATATATATTTATTTATTTAATACTTCATTATATTTTATTTAATGTTACATAAGATTGTAAACTTATAATTCTATATAGGATTATAATTATAGTATTATTTAATTTTTTTTTTATTATTCCGTGTTCTTCCTCATCTATACATAATACGATTAGCAAAAGCCATAGAATTGTCAAATTCTCTGCATTTTCCAAAGGAAATCGCTCAAAACTCACTCCCCAATTTCACCTTTTCCCACTTTCAGGATTTCTGCAGAATGAGAAACAGTGTTGAGTGTTGCAGCTCTGATTCTCTTCCTCAATTCCTATTTAGAGCACTACAACAGCAGCAACAGAGGTTGCAGCCTTCTTTCGATACAGACAGCTTCCAATGTGGAAGCAGAGAATCTTTCAAAGTTTGGAGCTTTGATTTGGGAATTGAAGAGAGAATATTCCACAGAGGGTAATAGAATATGCCCTTGATTTATCTTTAATTTTTTTATCTTCCTTCCCTCTTTCATCCGTTGCTGAATCTTCTCTTTAGTTTTTGCTGAATTACAACAATATTTTTATCTGGGGTTCGTGAATTGCTCCCTTGGTTGGTACCTTTAAATTAGGCAAAACCTTATATTAAGATATGAATTTATCTCAAATTCTCGATTAAATTCTTAAATTTTTATTAAACTAAATAAGTCATTGAATTTGTTAATTTGAACAATTTAACATTCTTTTTTTACAATAGATTTAATGCTCGTTTGTACCTCATTTGCATGAATAAAGTATTGACATGTCATTATTTATAAGGTAAGCAAGGCACAAATGTCAAGTTCACTATAAGAAAAAGGATTAAATTACTGAAATCCTTAAATTTAAAAATTTATTTACTTTAATAAAAATTAAAAAACTTAAATAAGAATTTAAGATAAATTTTAGAACTCAACATAGAGTTTTGCCTTCATGTAAGTTCTTAATTACTTACTAATTTGAAAACCCCAAAAGCAAGTTTGTTTCTTTCCTTCCCTTGGGTTGTGGGGTTATTCTATTTTAAGTTCAATGTTAGAAGCTAAAATTTTTAACTGGTTGCTGATATTTATGCAAGATGTCGCCTTGATAATCCTCTTGAGCTTGAAGCATGTTAATTCGGCATTGATGCAATGGAAAATGAAATTATAACTTTATTTGGTAAATTGGGGTTACACATTCAGCATGGAAAGCAAGTAAACCATCGTTATCCCCTATTTTTACCAAAGGTGGAATGCTCTACTTTTGTTGGATATTGCTGTAATATCTCTCTTTTATGAAGGAGCTGAAAACAGTCTTCAAGATGATATATTCGATGAGATTAGTGGTTATCAGCTAAATTTGTAAAAAATTTAGGTGAAAAAATGCTTAAAACTATCATTTTAATAAAATATTATAAAAAAACTAAAGTAATCTTATTTTTATTTTAAAAATTAAGATATTTTGATCTTTTTTAATAGGTATTTATTAAAAAGAGATAATTTTAAAACATTTTTTTATTTAATTTTTTACAAGTATGGTTGATAATACTTTTTCCATATTTAATACCCAAAACCATAGGTTAAAGTTTGAAGTTTAACTGTGTAAATATGAGGTAATCTTTTTGGTATTGGGTAATCATTCTTAGGATATTTGCGGTTGTTTGAGTTAAAATCTTTGAGTGAATGTATTGTGGGGTGCATAGAACTGGAACTTGAGTGTTTCTTAGAGAGTTTAAGGATCTTACAAGGTTATGTTCCCCTATTATATGAAAATTGGCTAGTATTGTTCAAGGTTAAAATTTAACTTATTTGGAGCATGACTATGAATAAACAACAAATACTACAAGAAAATAGGTTTTTTTATGATGGTAAAATTAGTCACAAAAATTTATAATATTTTGTCACAAATTGCATTTGTGTTTAAAATTTAGTTGATTATTGTTCATTATAAATATTAAGTTACTAAAACTAATAGTAATTAATTTTATAATCGTAACAAAAAATTATGATTTTAGTGATAAAAAATAGACACAATTACTAGTTTATTTGTAATGATTTTTGTATATAACAATTAAGATTATTTATAATAAAATAATTAGACATAAAAAAGTACCTTATTTGTAACCTTTATAATTCATCACAAAAGAAATTATTAGTGACACAAAATTTGGCCATTGATACTGCATTATCATTGACCTTTTATTTTTATCACAACTAGAATTATTTGTGACAGAAAAAAACAAAATAAATGCTATCATGTTAGTCACAATTAGGATTATTTGTGATAAAAACTTTTTACAACAACTATTATTAGTGATGAAACAAAAAGGTTAAAGGTTGAATGTATGATAGAAATTTTAATTTTAAAAATGCATATCCCAAAAAATATAATAAAGGCATTTTTATAATTTCAATAAACATTGATATCCAACGATTTCAATATGAAGACAACATCACATCAAAAATCTTTTACAAAATTAGTTACTAAAAAACAAATATAATAATTAAATAAAAATAAATTTTGAATTAAAATATTATTCATTAAATAATTCCAATTAAAATTACTTTTAATATAATTAAAAATATAAAATTATATCCATAAATTTAAACACATTCAATTTTAAAATTTTTAAAATTTAACTATAAAATAATAACTAAATCTTTGAATAAATAAAAATTTATTCACAATAAAAATATTATTAAATAAAATTAGCAATAACTAAGTTTTGTTTGTTCTAACTAAAATAAATTTAAAAAATAAAAACAACAAACGAACCCTAAATAATAATGAAATCAATATCATTTTGACCCTTGTATCACATAAGTGACAATCTATTGAAGTTGTAATTCAAATAAAAACATTTTCAATTGCACTAGCATTCTTGTACTCACTAATTTGATTTTGCAAATCTCTAATCAAATTGTGTAACTGAGTAATTATATCTTCTTACATCTTTATAGTCTCACTCAAATTTGAAATCCACTTCTCTAAAACAACAGTACGTTTTGTTGCCTGTTCTTCATGTGCTTTAATTAAACCTTACTCTATATAGCAATTCGAAAGTCCTCTTATCCTAAGACCTCGAGCATATCCCCCTTCGAGTAATCTTAATTGTTGTCTAAAATGTTCTATGAGTGGAATAAGAGCTAAATAAATCTCTTTAGCATTTTCCACTTAAACAATTTGAAGTTGTTCCTATAGAAAAAATAAATAAATTATTACAAAAAATAGCAAATGAACATACAAAAATGATGCAAACAATTACCAAAATTCTTTCCCCATCAGGAACTGTCCACTACTTATTTGCATTCAATCCTCTCCTTACCCACACTTTGGTGTAGAGGGCAATGTTTTTGTTTCTAACCTTTCTATTCTTATAATGAAAGGAAATCAATCAAAAGTTATATCACAACCAACATAAAATATATATACAATACTATTACTTATTATAATTTTAAAAATTGATAATTACTAGTTTATGAATAAAGATAACCGATTTTGTGCCAAGAGTAGATGGAATTTGAGTCTTCATCCTATTAAATCTATTTTTATTACTATTGTCTTACAATTTAATATATGAGATTAAAACACTCTGATTTATTAAATCATAGAGTAAAAACAAATAAATAACATTTAAATATTTAAAATTAAAAAATAAAATAATTAAACGTTAACATACCTAGAATTTGTCAATTTTCCATTTGTTCTGAATTAACCAATTTCACTCAATTTCTTCAACACAATTTGGATGAATTCTTTTTGTACAATATTCTTTATATAATTCATTATGAAGTTAGGATACAACTACAAAATATATTTTGCTATTTTAGGACAATGTTAACTTTTCTTCTATTAAGAAAAAAAAGGGAATTTGGTAGTTTTTCTCAAAAGGGGAATTTGGGGCTAGCATTGGTGTTTTCTTTGACCAAGAATTAAAACATAAGTAATTCGAGTGTCTCTTTAAGTTATGCATATTTGACTTTTAATTTTCTATTATTTATATTTGCAAGATGGATAAAAGTTGGATTAATCTCCATTGGAATAATCTTAAATATGAGGAGGGTGTCTATAAATTTCTTGACTCTGCATTTAATAGTCATGAACAAGGGAAGGCACTTTGATGTTCATGTAAAAAAGCCATAACGATATATTTCTTACAAGAAAGTTTATGTATAAGCACATGATGGCTAATCACTTTGATCAAATGTATGTGCAATGGTATCATCATGGTGACTCATTTTGTTGTGAATCTAAGGAGGAGGGTGATTCTGATATGCATGAATCTTAAGGCATGTAAGAAATGCTACATGATATTGGATGTGCTTATAACATCGATGATAGATCACATGAACTTGTTGGGACTAGTTCAAGCAATGCGAATAAGCAAGCTACAGAGTTTTATAGACTTTTGAAGGAGGTAGACCAAGACCTATATCCTAATTATCAGCATTTCTCTTGGCTATCATTTATCGCACAACTAATGAACATTAAAATTCTTTATGGGTTAAGTGGGAGAGTAATTGATGTAATTTTAGAATTATTGGTAAAAGTTCTTTGAAAAAGCAATAAGGTCCCTTCCTCATTCTATGAAGCAAAGAAGATTTTCGAAGATTTAGGATTAAAGTATGAGAAGATAGATGCTTGTGTGAATGATTGTATCCTTTATCATGGAAAATATGCAAAAGAACAATCATGCCCTATTCATGGTGTCAGTAGATGAACAAATGGTGAAGAACAAGATAAAGGTAAGCAACTTCCATATAAGATTTTGGTTTATTTTCCTTTAAAGGATAGAATTGAGAGATTGTACATGTCACCTAAAACGACATAAAAAATGAGATGGCATGAAGAAAAGCATCCTAATGACGGATTCATAAGACATCTAATAGACTCTTTAGCTTGGAAAAGTTTTGACTCTCAACATCCCATTTTTGCAATTCGACTTGTGCTTTCTAGTGATGTTTTCAATTCTTTGGGAAATATGAGCATGTCTTACAATATATGGCCAGTGGTTTTGTTGAACCATAACCTATTGTCTTGGAAGGGTATAAAAGATTTGTACCTTATGTTGTTTGCTTATTTTTGGTCCTAAAGCTCTACGAAATGACATTGATGTATACTTTGAACCTCTAATAGACGAATTGAAGGACCTATGGGAAAATGGAGTAGACGTGTATAATGTGACATCAAAGTTTCACTTTAATGTATGGGTAGCTTTGATATGGGCAGCTAGTGATGAGAACCCCAAAGAGAACAATGAGATCCATAGCATGACAAAGGATTTTGAAACTATAGGAAAGCCAAATTAGGTTTATGATAAGACCTTGATTCGTTGTTTATGTGACAACAAGAACTAGAGGTAAAGACCTTGACTCATTTTTTATGACGCAATAAGAACCAAAGGTATAAAGTTGGTTAATGCTGCACCCTTGAACGGTTAAGAATGAGAATGATAAGTTAGGTTAGAATACCACAAGAATAATCTTGATAAGTTCTATAATGTTTTGAAATAAACCAAAGAGAAAACTCTCTCAAAAACTTAGATTTAATAAATTGCCTCCCAATTAGGGTTACAAGTCCTTTAAATAGTGAAAACTAATCCTAATCAAAATAAGAAACTAACACCCTAAGTCCTAAACCTAAAAACCATGACTTAGGCTTCAAATAAATGAACGT